TAATCTTTATCTGTTTGTGAAGTTTCGTTACAATCGGTTCAGCTATTCCGAAGATTAGCACGGAAGTACGGACAGTCATACAAAAATTTTCTTTTTTGTAGATAATCCTACTTTTTCCTTTCCGGTACCATCTACTTCTTGAATACCAACCTCGGATTTTCGTGTAATTTAGTCTACTTAATACTTTGCGGGATTTTGGTACAACTTCATATGACATGTCCCATTCTTGCTTTTTCATTCCGTTGACCATTTTACAAAATACCTTTGAACATAATTATATCTAGGTACCTATCTACATCTATTATTTCATTATATTATACATATGTAGGTACACTGATTCATTCACTGCAAATGTAACTTTGTAATCCTATATAAATATATTTATGCAGTTAGTGTATCTAGAAAACTGGACCGAAATTACAAAATATTTTAGTTTTTCCTTGATTTATACACTAAACACTAATTGTATTCTAAATTTGAAGTTTCTACGTCTGCTAAAAGTGCCTTAGAGTTTTGATGATCGGTCAGTTAATGAGTGACAAAATTAAGAAACTTTGACTAGCTATAATTCTTAAACTACTTGGTCAAATTGAATTGAATGCATGCTTGGTTAGTAAAAATTCAGGCTTCTAGTTTTATCAACAACGAAGTTACAGAGCGGTCAAAAATCCTCCAATACGCAAATATCTAAAAACTGTTACGTTTATTTAATTTATGAATATTCATGTTAACAGGTACAGAGCAATGTATTAATTGGCACCAAAGTAAACAGATCTCTGTGGAGATACATGCAGAGATGATCTGCGCTGGACACTCAGATGGACACCAAGATGCATGTTTAGGTAATGTAACAACAGTAAACAATCATAGTGTAAAAATTTATACTTTGTTGCACTTTGATTATAACTCTTACCGTACCTTTACAAGTTAAATGAATCTGTTTAAATTTTGTATTAAAAATAATACACGTAAAGAGGTGTTATATGTCCACTGCTGGACATATATTTTACAATAATGTGCCGTTCACGGTGACCAGTCTGTGAGTGGAGAATGAATTTATCACCATCATATGCCACCATCCGCGTGCAGTTGAAATTGGTACCTTGAGCTATATGGATGTCTATGGGTCACAGCAACCACCTACCATCAGGTGGACCGTGTGCTCGTTTGTCACCCTATCGTATAAAAAAAATTATTAACTTATTTACGGAAGGAAGGCTCGAGTAGCAAACCTCTTAAGAGTTGACACATTATAGCACTCATTCATGAAATCGAAAGATTTGGGATCCGTGTTTTTAGCAGTAATTTAGGAAACCATAATATGTTAAAAAATTTGTAATATATTGTATAACATTAAAAACTATAATTAAAAAAAAACTAAAACTAATAACTTAATTATCATGCAGTCCTACTCCCCGTGGTATCGTGCCAAGAACGCTGGCTGCGTTTCCTCGCTGAATGGCTATACTTAGCCTTTGAGCGAGAAAATAACCAGCCCTCTTATCACTAGTAGCAACTACCAGTCGCGGATACAGTTCCTTTAATACGTTCACCGCACGTGGATCCCACGGACCGATAGTCTCTACAGCAAATGGCACAAATGTGCAGCCATCTCTCAGAGTCTCATATTTGCGCTACTTACTCAGTTGTAATAGGTTGCAATCACGATACACCTGATACAATTTTACATACATCTGATAAAATTTTAAGTGTTCAAACACCTTGAATTAAATAAATTATTAATTAATATACTTCTTCTCCAGGTGATTCTGGTGGACCACTAATTGTGCTAGACAGTGGGCGATATTACCTTGCTGGTATCACCTCTGCGGGCTTCGGTTGTGGCGTCGACCACCAACCCGGCATCTACCACAACGTTAAAGTGACTGCCGGCTGGATTAGAGGCGTTATATCACCGTCTATCAACTACATAGACTTTTAGTACTATTTATAAACATAAACGATCACAGTGGTGTGAAAAATAATATGTATACCTAATCATTTTAAATAAAATTAATAAATACAAATATTGCTTACTATCGAAAGCATTATAGTAGAAAATATCATTTACCATTATGTATGCTTTATCGACCTTTAAGATAATAATATGCAGGAGAACGTAAGAGGATTTACGGATTCAATTTTGTACAAAGTTTTATAATTTATCTGGTTATATACGTTAGTTTTATGGCTTGCACGAAGGCAGTATGATTTTAACGATTCTCCAAAATAAAAAGCGTTCATATCTATTATACCTACAAGTATATTGTACTTATTAGATGAGTCGCAGTGCACGACAGGTTATTTACACGGTCGATTTTTACCGCAAGAATATCTTCTATACAGAGTAGGGCATATTAATGATGGTGACATAAGTGTACTTGCAACACGAAGACACCTTGTCCTTGTCTACCCGTATTTGATAAAACACTTTTGCAATAAGAAAGCCACCTGACAGAAACATCTGAACAATCATAATACATACATAGCCGATAGTTAAAATATTCTTTTTTTTACATGTGAGCTTGACAAACGCGCACACAGTTTACCAGATATTAAAAAATACCATTAGAGGTCTAGAGACGATAAAATATATTCTCAGATAAGAATCAAAATGCAGATGCGTTGTCAAGCCTGAGGACTAAGATAGAATGTCTAGTTACTGGTAAATAGAACACTCACCATATGAAACACAGCAGCATTATGCTAGTATTTTATGTTGATATTCTGTGTGATCGTAATCCATCCCTGTTTGAGTGGACCCATCCATACTGCAGCCTTAATACTGCAGCGTGACTCTACCACGTATTTAGAATGTTAACTCCGGCCGACAATGGTACACTAAATTATATAAAACATACAGTAAAAGCCCGCAAAAATATTATAGTCTATTATGTTGAATTAGTTTCGGGAATTCGCAAATCAACAATGAACGCAAGCAACGAGGTTTACGATACCAACGAGAATTGAACTCGGATCGCTCGCGTTTCAGATGAGCACCGATCTCTTGAGCTGTCAATGCTCTTTTTATGTATTATAGGTACTTAATATATTGTATTTTGGGAAATAAATATAAATATAAAATTATAAATTATTACTACTTGCCATTGCTTTCTTTTAACTAATTTAAACAACTTGTTAATTTGATCTCCTTGAATTTATTTATATTGTTATTGTGTAATTGTTACAAAATAAATTACTTAAATGCAGATTTTTATTTTATTATCCTTCGCCATATAGTGCCGGCGTAACAGAATCCTCTATCTCTATATCATCCCTATAAGTGTCGTATGAGACGACTAGACATGTGTCAATCGTGAGTGATTCGTCCATTTGACCCGGGTTGCACCAAAGTATTGATGATTGCAAATGCATTTTTCGAACGTTTCGGATCAATCTGTTGACAAACCCTACGACCAAAGAGTGTAGTAATGTCCGACGACCGACATTATCGAGCGGGTCTCACAGATCACAGAGAACTGAATCTCGAAATTATCCATTTAAATTACCCGAATGTCCCGGTTCGTAAGACGATCAATACTTGAATGATCAGGTCATTAGAAATGAATGAATGACACATATTTAGAGACGACAGAGGGAAATGAAACAAGAGACGAGCATCAGCATCTTCTCATAGCAACTCGAAATAACTAAAAACTTCGTTTGCCAACCCGCCAGCCTTGCATGGCAACTAATGGCAAATATCCTACCAATGAGGCAATCTATGGAAGAGGCCGTGGTAGAGCCATTCTGCAGCTATATTAATAGTATAGTTGTAGCACGAATGGGTCGGCTCGGCCGGGGAAGGACCACACTCTCACAGAATACAGCGTAAAATAGCAGCTTAATGCTACTGTGTTTCGTATGGTGAGTGTAGAGACCCGGACACCTATTTTACTGCATTTTAATTCGCAAACGAAAATAGATGTAGATGTCTATGGGCCACAGCAACCACTTGGACTGTGTGCCCGTTGCACCCTAATTCTATAAAAAAGAGGCCTTTTGATAGGTTATAATGAAAATATGATATGAGTTTTATCACAAAAAATCATAAACGATTACTTCCTGAGTAGTCTAGTCTGTAGGTACTCCGGAAAATATCGTAAACAAACCGCTTATGTGTAATCGGGCATTATAGTATTTTTGTTTTTTTGATTTGGATAAACACTTGTGCCAGTTTCACAATATTTATTTTAAAATATTATTATACTAATTATAGAAACTAACCGGTTTCGCCTCACATCATCATCAGGGTATATATTATTTTATTTTATATATTATTAGCTGACCAGGCAGACGTTGTTCTGCCCTTTCCGAACGACCGTTTGCTTTCCTAAAAAAAACTCCTGAAATTAGCAATAAAGAATGAGGTTCACTTATCGGGATAAAAACTATCCTATCTCTCAAGTTGGACCAAACTGTCTGCAAAATTTCATTGAAAACAGTTCAGTAGTTTAGGAGTTCATCGGGGACAAACAACGTGACACGTAATTTTTATATATAAAGATTTATTATTTTTGTACTTTTTAGTTAATTAATCACCACTCATCAGTCACAGTGAAGGAAGCCATCTAACGATCTATCTCAGTTCCTGCTTCAAACAGGCTAAATTACTTTCGATGTTAAATAGATATGGCGTCTTCTGTAACAAAACCAGTTCTTAAAAAACTTAACGTAACTTAAAACCCTTAACGCGTTCTATATGATTCAATTTACATCGTTGCCATGACCAGTCCAATCAACCAAACTTACTTACCATATAAATATTAAATTTCGACAATATTGTTGAGAAATAGAGTTCATATTTGAATGCTGTCAATGAAACGGTACTCGAGCAAAACGCATTGCAAATGTCAAGCAAGCAGGCAAGCACAGTCGTTTAGAATGTCGTGGCGAGGCGACGTGAACTTTTGAAAATAACAGTTCCAAATTTAAAACTTATTGTTTTTCTCAATTCATTTTGGTGAAATTATCTATACCCCGTATACAATCTTTTAAAAATGGTGAACATTCTGTGGATTTTTTGTTTGATGGTCATGGTATCGACTTTGGATGGACAGACCTTGGGTGGTGAGTAGTGAAAGGCATATTTTAATGGCATATATGACTTATCCGTATTATACCTACAACATAATATATTACGTGTAATGATAACAAATACAAATTTGTGCAAGGAGAAAGCGTAAAGAGTATTACGAAGCAGACGCTAAGTAGTGTGTGAATTTAGTAATAGTATAAATTACATTATTTATTAAATTTAATTAATTATTATATTATTAATAATAAATTAAATTATATTATTATTAAATTATATTATTACATGCCAAACAACGTTATTCTGCGTGCAACACACATTTCTATTCACATAGAAAATCTGTTAAATTATCTGATTATCCAACAATTTTTCATATTTAACAACAAAATTTAAGTATACTTTTCATAGTCTTGGCGTTATCTTGAATACACCATTATACAATTTATTTAAAATAAACATATCTCGTAAAGTTCTTCGTTTTCTATACTTTACGGCTTCTCTTGGTAGAACTTTCTATGTTAAGCCAGTCGTGACACTAACAAAACATATCAAAAACTATCTTTTTTGATATTTTTTTTATTAGAGGCCTACAAGTTTACAACAAAAGACAATACAAGCATTTAATCCCACCGCTAAAATCTCTCACCAATGAAATCGAATAAAATAATTTCAAATGAGGAAAATAATATGAAGTTGTTTTTATTCAATATGGCCTTAATATAAAAAAAAAAACAACAGACCCATCGTTATGATGCGCTCTCATTATGTTACTCTTTCCAGATCAATTTTAAATCCAACCATCTCCTTGTTTACATTTATAAGTACAATAAAAGACACGTATTAGTCTCAGGAACCAGACAACTTTCAATTTTTAAAGGTATTGTTACGATTTTCAGTTATTATTTTTCTTCAAACAGCTTAAAAACTCGTAGGTTAATGTGAAGAACCACAGTTTACCTTGAATTGACGCCTTAGTACGTTGAACTGCACTGTTGACAGACACGTCGTGTCCCAACTTACAAGTTAGGCAATCACCAAAGCAATAAAATTTTGTCTTAAGCCACATCTAAAATAATTTTTACATAGAATTATCTTTGTTACTAGTTTTTGGCCTGTTTCAAGCTGTTGTACGTGACTGCTCCGTTGGTCTAATGGTCGTTTGCGTATCTGATCATATGATCCCGGTTTCGAATCCAAACTCGGGCTAATATCAATTATTATATTTTTCTATAAATAAATTCCCAGTAGCAACCCGGAGTCAGGAAGTTGGCAGTATTTCAAAGCCGTTGCCCCTGCGCCTGATCATTTTGCGTCAGTTTCGATTTGCTTTTCCATCGGACTATGAGAGTGAACAAATTAAGAGTGCACTTGTGCATGCGCACACCCTCGTGCCCTATAACTCTGTCATGTGCATGTCCTGGGAACATTACATTATAAGATGTAAAAGGATTTTATATGAGTTATAAATGAACAATATTTTGAGTACAAAACAAAATATCTTTTTTTTAAATATAGGATTAGGTGACAAACGAGCACACAGTCAACCTGATGGTAAGTGGTTGTTGTGGCCCATAGACATCTACATTTATCCTTGTTTGCCAATCAAAATGCAGATGCGTTGTCACCCGTGAGGACTAAGATGGAATGCCTCTTTTCCAGTAAAAAGAGTCTCCGGTTCTCTACGCTCACCATATGAAACACAGCAGTGTTAAGCTGCTATTTTACGCTGGCATTATGTGAGAGCGTGGTCCTTACCCGGTAGAGCCGACCCATTCGTGCTACAACTATACTACTAATATAGCTGCAGCATGGCTCTAGCACGTAAAAATAAAAATCTATGTAAACAACGATGAAACTTCTAGATTTATGTTACGTAAGAATAACTAAAGATTTTTATAATAGTGGCAAACAAGCTTAAAGTTCAAATGATTATACGTGGCTTCTACCAATGTCATAGTTATACTTAATAGTATAAGATACTATGTACAAAAACAAATAACTTTAAAAAAATAAGGCAGCAGATGCGTTATTAGCCCTGATAACGAAATTGAAATACCTCACCTCCTATAAATAAACTAGCTCTGTCGCTCTTGACCTTGACACCGAGTCTAACTAATTAGAGAGAGCTAAGAGGGTGGTATATACACAAACCGACTTAAAGGCATAAAATTACTACAACCTGCCAATCCAAAAGAACTATCTTTTCTAAAATAAATTGAACTCCAAATACCACGTGCATACAAAAATAAACAATAGCTTTTGAGGTGTAAACGTGATGAACAAACTCCTCCACATGCCACATCTTATTAAATAACTAGTTTTTGGCGACCGATAGAAAAAATGTAGATTTATAATCAATTGAAAAAAATAGGTCGCAAATACTACAGAGAGTAGATAGAGCGCATCATTATAAATGCTGATGATAATGTCATCCATACCGATTTTCGGTCACGGCAAAATTTTCCGAATACTGTCGGAATTTATCAATTGTACAAATAACGTGCCAGAACTTATCTCTGCCCGATGTAACGGATAAGCAATAAAAGCTAAAGGGGGCTCTATTTCAATATCAGAAACAAGAAGACAACCCACGGATCCGAAATCAATGTACCTACATAAACAATTCAAATTAACCAGCAAATAGTCCACTGGACGTAAAGAGTAAAGAGGATTTGCCGTAATCGATATGCTTGACAAACCGTTAACTTTTCATTTATTATAATATTTAGTTTAATATTGGCAGACAACAGCTAACGGTAATTTATTACAATTTTCAATTAAAAAGCAATTGTTTGACAATCATTGGCCATCAAATTACTTATTTACTAATTTTGAAGGAATAAGTTACTTGCTATTATTTAACAATTAAGTCATAGTTAATTTAATGTTTTAGTTAATTTTTATAACTATGAGAGAAATATTATTTCATTATCATTATAATGACCAGTATTATTAACTAGACTGCTAAACATGAGACATAATAAGAATGTATCGGCAGATAAGGTACGAGTACGCACTCCCGGACATTCAACTGAATGACAATTTATATTTCAGATAAGATTTCTTAATAATACTTAAGACCCACTTAAAGTGTGAACAATAATGGAATTTCATAGATTTGCGGAGGCATCAGAGTCCAAGGGGGAGGCGTTGGCCGTTAGTTTGACATATCGAAGGCCTTCGATCGGGTTTAGGACAAAGCGCTTCTTTCAAAGCTTCCTTTCTATGGGCTTTCCGAGAAAATGTGCAACTGGATCACCAGTTTTCTTGCCGATTGGAGCATCAAGGTCGTAGTAGATTACAAGCCCATTAACGCTGGTGTTCCACAAGGCTGTGTGCTATCACCAACGCTGTTTCTTCTACATATCAATGATATATTGGAAACCGATAACATTCATTGGACTTGTGATTCTTTATACACCGGCCGTACCAATATTTCTCTGGAAAAACGTCGCCGGGTACAGGAACAAACTTATATCTGAATTCGAGACTTTGTTGAACAAATGCCCGGAATGGGGCAAATAAATCTAGTCCAGTTCAGTCCCAGAAGACAAAAGTTTGCGCGTTTACCGCTAAAAAGAACCCCTTTGTCGTATCTCCTCAGCTTTAGGGCACTTCCCGTGTTGCCTCAGCCAGTATAGGAATCCTCGGCGTCGACATATCGAACGACGTGCAGTTTTGTGGTCACTTGGAAGAGAAGGCGAAATTGACCTCTAAAAAGCTTGGCGTGCTCAACAAAGCGGGATAGAATTTCATGCTGCACACCACCTGCAACTTTACAAGGTGCAGGTTCGGCCTCACATGAAATACTGTTCCCATCTCTAGGCTGGGGCTCCCCAGTGCCAGCTCCTTCCATTTGATTGCATCCAACGCAGAGCGGTTAGAATCGTCGGCGACCGAGCTCTTTCTGATAGGTTTGATGGCACTGTGAAGAGATGTCTACCACGGGGAGTGCTCTGAGTAATCGTTCGGACTAATTCCAGCCGCTCTATTTCAACATCACACATTGCGACCAAACTCACGATACTATCCATATCATCTGGATGATTGGCGGTCCACCACTGTGCAATTTACAAGAGGTTTTCTTCCTCGCACAACTTCCTTGTGGAATCGACTACCACCAGTGATTTTTCCGGACCGATACGACTTAGGGACCTTCAAGAAAAGAGTTGATTTTGTTCATGGGTGGCGGTAGTCACTTACCATCATGTGAGCCGTATGCTCGTTTGCCCTCTCTCCTAATAAAAAAAACCATATTTAAAGAGACCAAAATGTAACAGATACAATTGTAGTAAAAGCGTAGCTTATTAAGAAAATTTTGGTTTAAATCTGTGTAACACGCATCAGCAAGCAACCTTATCTTAAATGGGAGTAAAAATGTTAACCGGTAGAGTAAAAATAATGTAGCAATGACCTTTCAACAACCTTCGGTAACGTGTATCCCCCAGCTTATTTCTTGACCAATAGTCATTGAATATTTAAAACAATCCAAGATTTCTTACCGAACTTAAGAACTTAAGTTATTATTAAAATAAAGGTTAGGCAAAGTAGAATAATCAATTTTAAAGAGTATTCTTTAGCATACAACGAGCATCGATTGGCAGTTTTTTGTAGAGTTCATAGAGACTTCAATACATGATTACCAATCGTAAACAGATTTCATGTCAGCGTTTAATTTAGAAATGGCGTTAGGAAGGTCTTTGATTTCAGATTAAACAAACATTTTGAAGGTTATTTGCATACAAATGGTATGAGTAATCAATACTGGAGATAATAGAGCTTTTAAAAACTGACAACATTAAAGGAGAGAGAATTCGGCCTTGCGGCACGCAAGTTTGATTATTAATTCACTGTAAAAAGACCAATCGCTTAAGTCCACTAAGATAGAAAGAAAACGAACCAGAAACTGTTGGAGCCAAATGAAAGTAAAAAAAATATATTAAAATAAAATTTGCACAAGACATACAATATACAATTAGTTCATATTTCAAACAATGCGAGAAAAAAAAGTGATGCAATATGCTTAGTAAGATAA